TTTTGACTTTCGAAACTATTCATTTCCAAAAGCAACTCTTTTAAAATTAATCTATTTCATATGATATATATATATATATATATATATATATATATATATATGAATTAGATTCAAATCGAATCATTTATAGATTCGAATTAAATCAAAGTAAGATTCGTATGAAACGAATCTAAAATTGGGTGATTCTATTCGGTTCTAATTTCATCGATTCGTTCAAGTTTTGATTGATATTGAAAGGTCTTCTATATATGTAAAACTATACGGTTATTCAAAAATGGCGTTGCTCTTCACTTCAAAGCTGAGATCATTTCATTCTTCAATATTGCTTTAGATTTCATATTGTCACTACCTTTACGGGGAGGAGGTGTTGGTTAATAATTTTTGGAGAAAGTTGTCAAGGGTTGTATTCAACATGGCCAATTTTAGCCATAGTATATTAATTTAATATTAATATTAAACTCAATAGAAAGTGCCATATGATTTGGTGGAAGAATATTTAAATTTGATTGGTTAAATTTTAAATTTTCAAATAAAAAGATCAAAAAATTTTAAATTTGCAACAGACTCATTTTAGATATATATATATTTATTATACATGTATAAATAAATATCTGTATAAATTATTTAAATAAAAATGACGGTTCCAAGTTTATCTTTTAGAGCTTCATGCATTTTAGCAATATTAATTCGAGTAGTGATGTTAATATATGGAGAGTGGCAAGATGCGAATATGCAAGTGAAGTATACAGATATTGATTATAAAGTTTACTCTGATGCAGCACGTTTTGTTGCAATGGGAGAAAGTCCATACAAACGGGCCACGTATAGATACACACCATTATTAGCGTTTCTATTGCTGCCTAATGTATATCTACACAAATCATTTGGAAAGCTATTATTTGTTAGTTCAGATATATTGGTTGGAGTATTGATTTATCGAATTGTTTGTTTGCGTGGATTGGATAAACAAAAAGCAACAATTTATTCATCACTTTGGCTTCTGAATCCGGTGGTAGCCAACATTTCAACACGTGGTAGTGCAGAGTCGTTGATTAGTGCCATGGTGTTGTTATCATTGTATTTGATGGTGATGAAAAGATTTAAGATGGCAAGTGCATTGTATGGATTATCAGTTCATTTCAAGATATATCCAATCATTTATTCGATTCCATTGTTGGTGTTGTTAGATGATGAGGATTATTGGGGGATTAGGAGGAAGGGAAAGGAGAAAGAGTATGATAGGAATTCATTGAAATATTGGACTGGAATGATTAGTAAATTTGTGACAACAACCAGAATTAATTTTGCATTGATTAGTGGTGGTGTATTTTTTATTCTGAACGGTCTGATGTATTATTTGTAAGTACACACACACAAACACAAATAACATTTTATGATCCTTTTTTCAATTAATTAAATCAATCAATCAATTTGTATGTGTATATGTGTGTATATATATATATATATATATAATAGATATTCACAAGAATTTTTGGATGAGACGTACCTTTATCATATAATACGTAAAGATCATAGGCACAATTTCTCCATATGGTTTTATTATATTTATCTTACAATAGAGATTCCCAGAGGATCATTTCTATGGTTTCTAACGTTTCTTCCGCAACTTTCTCTTGTGACATTGTTGGGATTTGTATTTGGTAAAGATATATTTTTTGCAAGCTTTATTCAAACCTTTGTGTTTGTTATTTATAACAAAGTTTGTACATCACAAGTAAGTAGTAATCTTTATTTTCTTATTTGTATTCTTTGATATAATTTATGTGATTGGGAATTCTTACTAACTACATACATGTATGTGTATATAGTATTTTATGTGGTATATTTGTCTTTTCCCATTGATTGTTCACTCTACTGCCATCAAATTCAAGTATAAAGGATTTTTAATGTTGTTTGCATGGATCATTGGTCAGGTAAATATTCTCTAATAATAAGATGATACTTACAATTTATCTTAACATTAAAAAAAAGATTTTTTTTTTTAAAAATTAAATCACAGGCAATTTGGTTGTATTATGCATATAATTTGGAATTTCTTGGAGAAAATACATTTTCTAAGATATGGATGTCGAGCATTCTATTTTTCCTGATAAACATATGGATATTAACAGAATTTATAAAGAATTATGAGTTTACACAAGTTTTTGAACTGGGAAAAATTAAAAATGTCTGGCAATATTCCAATGTTAATAATGCTAATGCTGATAATATAAATGATGATGGTGATAATGATGATGATAAATTTAGGAAATAACTATTAAGAATAGAAAGAATAATAATTTATTGTGAGTGAAAAGTATGAAATGGTTTGATTTTCTAATAATTTCCTTTTTTTTTTTTCTAAAGATTAAAAGAAACAATTAAAGAAACAATTAACAAATCAGAATAATATTTTAGGTTGCATATGGTTTCTTGTGATAAATTACCATTTAATCAATCAATCAGTTATTTATTCACTTCTCCATTTGTTGTTACTTTAGATGAATCATTATTACTTTTCAAAAAAAAGGAAGCGAGGAAATGTGAGAGTGTGAGAGTTGTTTTAATTTGGCAGTAATAAGAAATTGGTTTCTCAGTTGATTAATTAATTATTAAGTTGATTAGTTTGTTAGTAAATTAGAAAAAAAAAAAAATAATTCAATTTATTAATTAATTTGTGTATATTATTACAAACATATTTTTGAAAAAGACCAATTAATTAATTTAATGGCAAAATTTATAATAATTGAATTAAAATTCTGTATTCATGAAAATGGATCGGTATGATTATAAGAATCCTTGGCAAATTTGCCATGTCTACTTGAATTGCCTACCACATGACCTGCATTTTTAACAAAAGTTCATTGCTGATTTTGAAGAAAAACTCTGGAAATCTTGTCAAACATCAACATTATTCCTAAGATCATCCCTAAAGTCGGTCGATTTAAATTAATTGTACAAGTAAATGGGAAATTCATACTATCTTTTTCAATATTCTTTATCAAAAATATTGATACATTTACAATGTCGTGGTCATGAGGATATGTTCTTGGGATGCTTTTATTTATAAAGGAAATTTAATTATATTCGCAAACTTTTATTAAAGGGACTAGCGCAAAGTATAAATCTGTTTATGCACCAATGGTATCTTTTCTTCTCTCAGGAATTTTTAATTAAAATCTTTCAGCAAACAAGCATTCTCTAGTTTCTCCTCAAGAAAATAATCCATATTTTGCGATTAAATCATCACCATCTAATCTCGACTGCTTTATACAGATGACACTCATTCTATAAATAGTTACACTGGGATGCTTAACGGTCGACATCCAACGAATTCTTTATTATATTATTACATCATCATCATCAAGATATAAAACAAATCTATCCGAAGGAAAGTAACATGTGAAACAAGGTTTGTTATCACCACGGGAGGACACAAGGTCATGATAAATATTTGCCTTCACCATCCCAAACTTTCTTTATCCTTTCTTGTTTACTGGGTGGCTCAATCTTCTGAAATTTTAAAGAAAAGATTACAAAAAGGATAAGTGCCTTTCCTTCCCCACTTTCACCTCTTTTTTTTTTAGTAATAACCCCAAACGTAGACTAGCGATGCAAATCCGATCATACTCGGATTGGCAGGTGGCTTTTTTTAAAAAAGCACGGGACATCCGAATGATCACTTAACAATAGTCAAAATTTTCTTAAACTATCTGTTTTTGGAAAAACATTCCTCGTCAATGTTTTTATTAGAATAAATTTTATTTCTCGAAGCATCGCAATTTTGTGGTTTGTTTCCATACCAAAATTAAACTTGGTTTTGTAGACAACCGATTGGATTTTTCTCTTCGTCCTTTGCTTTTAAACTTTCGTTTCATCACTAAATAGCCCTTTTTGATTTTCCTTTTAAATTCCTTTGCTCATATTTTTTATTAATGCACCAAACCAAAATATAATTTTAATAATAATAATAATAATAATAATAAATTTATACCGATGAAATCCGACGGACGGATTTTCTGTAGTAGTAGTAGTAGTAGTAGCGGATGAAACGGTCATCCGCGGATCACATGACTTTAACTGTATTATCAAAAAATTGAAACTGATATTGATAATAATAAGCATCCTTCCTTCTGCATCAAAAAGCTACGTCTCCGATCTAAATAGCGTAGCTTTAAAATTCCAAGAAAAATACACAAAAAAACCACTGGGACCAAACTTTTGATATTGGTTCGTTAATAATACTCTGTTGAAAAATAAAACAGTCGATTCAATTTTCATATACCACAATTAGTTGAAACTAGTCGCAATTAATTGGGGCGGCATTTTAATCTTTATAGTCAATCAGCTTCATTTACTCGTCACAAATGACAGAAATCTATTTGGAAATCAAAATGATAAAGACCATTTAAATTTTCCGTATGTGTTTACACGATCCAATGTCACTTTGACTGAATGGTATTTAATGTTGACAATTAAACAATTAACCGTTTATTTAATTGGTTAGCTGAAGATTTTCGTGGTCAATTAAATAACCATACTTCTATTGTCAATTTCAAAAGAAAACCATTTTAGTTATATTATTATTAATAAAAATTGTGGTTTTTATTATTATTATGCACAGCACGTTGCACGAGAATATAATCATCAAAGCTTTAATTTTTAAAAAAAATTTTTTTTAATTAATGATTATAGCCAAAATGAATTTCAATTATATTCTCCATTAATGTTAATATTGATTGTTAAATAAAAATAAAAACCTTAAAATAATCCTTCAGTACCAAATATCATTAATATTATTATTATCAAATTGTTTAACAAAGGCTTTGTTTACTTCACGTAGGTACATGATAAATAAATTCGGAAAAACTATAATTTCACACTTTCCTTTTTTTGACTAGGAATTTTTTTTTTTGAAAGATAAATATAAATTTTTTTTTTTTAAAAATTTCAATCTTTTTTCTCTTTTTTATCTTTCACTTATTTTTAAAAATATAAACATGACCATGAATATGAACGGTAGACGTAATAATAATTATTCTGACGAACAGCATTATAGAAGAAATTCATATAATGGTCGAAATAATTATAACAACAATAGGAGTAATAATCATGAAAATACCATTTCAGATAAACTACCACCAAAAAATTATATGAACTTTAACGAACTACATCTCAAAGTGAGCAATGTCCATCATAATGCCACCATCCCTGACTTGAAGGATTTTTTTTCAGGGTATGGTACTGTTGATAAAATCAATATAGTTACCAGGGAAATTGGTGGTATTGAACGTTCAACTGGAACTGTTTACGTTACCTTTAAGTAGGTGTTTTTCAACAATTAAAAAAAATTTTTCTGAAAAACTTATTTATTAACTTGTAAATTACGTGATAATGATTTTTTTAAAATTCATTTATTTTAACTCTACCAATTAATTGTCAAATATATATATATATATTTTTAAAGACCGCCACCTGAAAATTTTTGGCGTCAAACCGTTCGATTTCATGGAAGAGTTATGGATCTTGAATATTCTCAAAGAGGTTATCATGATGATTACCATTATCCTTACAACAACAACAACAACAACAACAACAACAAAAACAACAACAACAATAATCGAGATTATTATTATTCAAACAAAGACATTTTTCTCGGAGAAAGTCTTGAGATGGGAATTTTTTTGGATAAAGATACGTTTGTGTCAGAATGGAAATCTACTGAAAGAGTCAAATTTATCGTTGATTATAAACGTTTAGATATTAAAATTATTTTTGGTTTTGGTAATTACACATTCAGATTAGAAGTACAGTTTAAAGACATAGACGTTAATATTTGTGCTGAACTTGACGATTCAGATAATGAATCAAGAGCTATTTTAACTGTGCCTAGTAAATATCCTGCCAAATTTTGGATGTTGGATGAATTTTCGAAACCAAAAAACAGATTCAAATGGAACATTAATGAAAATTGGTTCAGGAAAACAGAGATTCGTACTGAGCCTCGATCACCTCATGAAAAGTCGTTGCCTCTACAGTTGCATGTTGGAAATGATCAACTTGGCAGATGGACTGTTTATAGAGTGTCATTTGATTTAACCACTGTTGAAGGAGGCTTTAAAAGATTTAGAGGAATGATTAGGAAAGCTGTCGAATTCCGCCTCACAAATGGCCAATTTAACAGACTTTTAAGGGTGGTTAAAAGCAATCAATTAAACAAATGTTTGGATTATTCAATTTTAAAATTTGATGTTCTATACATGCTTCAAAGCGCTATATCACATAATTATTTAAACGAATATACTATAAATTATGAATTTATCAATTTATTGGCGGCTCAAAAAACAGATAACGCTGTTTATATTTTGGAATCCATTTCAAGTCGTAAAAAACCAATTTATGATCCTTTAACATTTTTAAAAAATGAAATTATCAAACAAAAAAATATCGAAAGAAGACCTAAAGTAGTTCCTGAATATTGTGTATTGATGCGCAAAGCAGTTGTCACGCCAACCACAGTTTATTTTCTATTGCCGACCATGGAAACATCTAATCGAGTCATCAGACATTTTAGTAAAGTAAAAGATAGCTTTCTACGTGTTCAGTTTATTGATGAGGCAGGTGGTAAAGTTAGCTCTAGTTTAGGCACAAACAATGATGCACTCTACAACAGAATATTTTATACACTAGTACATGGTATAAAAATTGGAGATAGGCATTATGAATTTTTGGCATTTTCCTCAAGTCAGCTTAGGGAACACTCATGTTGGTTTTTTGCGCCCACTGATAATTTAACTGCTCATGACATTAGAGAATGGATGGGAGATTTTAAAGATATAAAAGTTGTGGCAAAATATGCTGCTAGGATGGGTCAATGTTTTTCTAGTACACGTGCTATCGCACATTTACCAGTAAATGATATCAAAGAAATTCCTGATATTATTAGGAATAGATATAATTTTTCTGATGGTGTTGGGAAAATTTCTCCTGCGTTATCTAAAACAATAGCAGAAAAGATTGAATTAAAAACCATCCCATCTGCTTTTCAGTTTCGTCTTGGTGGATTTAAAGGAGTTTTATGTCAATCACGATATTTAATTGGTAACCAAATTCATGTTAGACCAAGTCAAAATAAATTCGAGTCTATTCATAAGGAATTAGAAGTTATTAGAGGATCATGTTTTATAGCAGCCTATCTTAATCGACAAGCTATCACATTGCTGTCTACTTTAGGAGTTCCCGACCAAGTGTTCATTTCAATGAAAGATGACATGGTTCATGATTTAGACAAAATGCTCAATCTTGATCACAATGCCATGAAAGTGTTACTGGCTAATACAGATGAGTTTGGTATAACACGTATGATGGCAGATATGGTTAAAGCAGGTTTCTTATTACGCAAGGAACCATTTTTGGTGAATTTGATTTCATTATTTCGAACAACAATGCTTCACGATCTAAAGAAAAAAGCTAAAATTCGTGTAGAAAATGGCGCATTTTTATTGGGAGTTTTAGATGAAACTGAAACTTTAAGAGAGAACGAAGTTTATTGTTGCATTTCTGATCCACAAAATCCATCAGCTAGAAAAGTAGTCACAGGCACATGTATAGTTTTTCGCAATCCATGTTTTCATCCAGGAGATGTCAGAGTGGTCACTGCGGTGAATGTTAAAAAATTAGATTACCTTGTAGATGTTTTGGTATTTCCGGCAAAAGGATATCGTGATATCCCTAGTCAGTGTAGTGGTGGTGATTTAGACGGGGACGATTTCACGTATGTTTGTTTATTCATTTATAATTAAATTTTTCTTTTTTCTTTTCTTTTCTAATGTGCATATATGTATATGTGTTTGTAGCATTATATGGGATAAAAGATTAATACCAGAAACTAAAAATTGGGAACCAATGAATTACGAGGCACCTAAACCGGTGACAGTTGATGATGAGGTAGAAATGCATCAAATTAAAAAATTTTTTGTAAATTATATTCTTTCTGATCAGTTGGGACAAATAGCAAATACGCATTTAGCAAAAGCAGATCATTTAGATGGAGGTGCATTCCATGGACAATGTATACGCTTAGCACAACTACATTCTGAGGCAGTAGATTTCCCCAAAACAGGAATACCTGCCGAATTTCCTTCAGATCTTCGCACAACTGAATATCCAGATTTTATGGAAAAACCAGATAAGCCTAGCTATATATCTAATAAAGTTCTGGGAAATTTGTATAGATCTATTGAACTACCAGAATTCAATCCATGCACAAGCTTTGGATTTGATGAAAGGTTATGTGTTCCAGGATATGAATATTATTTGGAGGAGGCACGAATGACTAAACGTAGATATGATACTGATATTAGGGGATTAATGAATCAATTTGGAATTAGACTGGAATGTGAAGTAGTTAGTGGATTTATTGTTAATTCGACGGTTAAAATTGAAAAAAAGAAGCCAAGAGATGTGAAGAAGTCAGTGATGGATGCTATTATGGCCATCCAAAAACAATATCGTAAAATACTTGAAGAAGAGTTTTACGCTGAAGGAACTAATACGCCATCACCGGATGCAAGTAAAAAAATGGAAGCCAAGGCTTTTTCATGGTATTATGTGACATATCACCCAGCAGAAATAGGGGCAGATCCAGAGGAGAACATGATATCATTTCCATGGATTGCGTATGAGGTCCTATGCAGTATAGCCTCAAGAAATTCACGGAAAGCTCGTAAGATCGATGACATTTTTAATCAAAATGATGATTATGATCAAATGGAAGTAATTAGTAAAAATAAACCCGTCATTAATCTTCAAAATGAAACCAATTATAATCAAATAGAAGTTATTAGTAAAAGCAAACTCATCATGAATAATCAAAGTGAAGCCAATTATATCCAAACAGAAGGGTTTATTAACAAATTCATCATTAGTAATAATAATAATAATAATGATGAGATTAAATCCAATGGTACTGATAATGGAATGGAAAAATTACGTAAATCAATACTAAATTCCAGGCATAGATAAAAATATTCATGGGTAATCTTTTGAAACTTTATGCATACACTATATGAGAAAGAACATTATAATTTTTAGATTATCAAAAACTTTTTCCTATGTATATTATTTAATTTTTTTTTTTTTGTTAATTAATTTATTAAATTTTAATAATCCATCAGCTACTTAATTCATTATTACATTTTTATCAAATTATTTATGGAGACAAATAAATTTTGATGCTCATAACAATACCAGGAAAATACCTCAAAAAGGCACACACTCCGAATTACATGCTCAAAAATATTAAATAATGAAATTGACACATTTTTCATTTAATACACGCCCATATATATAAAAAAATTCAGGTCAATTATGCTAATTATGCTATATCCTGATCTGATATATGCATTTATTATTTTATTTATCTACATAGAAAATAACCCATAAGCCATAAAATATATAAAATAATTAATCCTTGAAAATTTCATTAATAATCAACTATTCAATAATTATAGTTGTTTTAATAAAATCAATGATCAACTTAATTGAAATAAAAGATCATTCAAAATTTATATATTTTTTAATGCTCCCATATCATCGGGTCATCTTTGAATTCGTGTCTTGATTGATTACGATTACGATTACGATTACGATTACTATTATTATTATTATTATTATTATTATTATTATTATTATTATTATTATTATTATTGTTATTATTATTTGCATTTCCCTACAAACAGAGAATTTTTGAGTAACCAAATAAACCATTAATTAATTAAGGAATAAATAATTATTACCTCTAGGTCTACTGTTTCGGTAACAGTTATTTTGATGCCATTGGATACTCGCGTTGAAGTCCGTGTGCTTTTAAAACTACTACTACCACCTTTGCCTTTACCTTCACTTCTCGAATATGAATGTGTTGAAAATGTATGATTATTGTTGTTATGATTATTATTATGGTTTGAAAATCCCCTCATTCCATGATCTGAAGGAAAGGGTGGGTTACGTCCGCCAAATCTTCCAAATCTCCCATTATTATTATTGTTATTATTGTTATTATTGTTATTATTGTTATTATTGTTATTATTATTACTATTGTTATTATTGTTGTGGTTGTTGCTGTTTCTAGAAGAATGCTTATGAGACCTTGAATGATGATGAGGTGGAGTGAATGGAAAGGATGGAGGAAAATTGCCTAAATTTTATTTTTTTGTTGTTATTATATATAGAAAACATAAATTAATAAATTCATTATATTCAACTAGTGTATATATATATATATAGTAAATAGGCATACATACCAAAGAAATTATTAATAGGTGATGATGGATTATTGGAGAATGGATCATTGAAGAATGGATCATTAAAAGGCGATGGATTATTGAAGAATGGATCATTGAAGAATGGATTATTAAAAGGCGATGGATTATTGAAGAATGGATCATTGTCGAAAAATTGCATGAATATTTCATTGGGATCATGGAACTATAATACAAAATGTTTTTAAATAAATGTATATGACTGTGAATCAAACATCAAATAAAAGAGAAAAATTAAAAATTTTATACTTGGAATGAATGTGCTTGACTTGTGCTTTGTGAAGGAAATGAAAATCCTTTTTTAAGACCTTCTTCACCATGCAAATCATAAATCTTTCTTTTCTTGGCTTTTTTTTAAAAAAATAAAAGAAATAAATAACATATGGATAATTGATAATAATGAGTAGAGTAATAACTTACAATCACTTAAAACTTCATAAGCTTCTGCAACCAGTTTGAATTGTGCCTCTGCTACTTCACGTCTGTCCACATTTTTGTCAGGGTGCCATATTAATGCTAAAAAAAAAAAAAGAGTTTCTTTTCAAACTTAATCGGAATTAGTATCAACAAGTAAAAAATTCTTACGAACCTTGTTTTCTATAAGCTTTTTTAATGTCATCAATCGTTGCATTAGAATTAACGCATAAAATTTCGTAGTATGTTGCTTTTATGCTCATTTTAAATACTCTTTGTAAAATTGAGATCTAAAAATTATTTTATATATATATATATATATACGTGATCTAAGCAGTAGATATCAAATTGGTTAAGTGCTGAATATCATTCTATTTTTGTAACACATATTATTAATCCGGATCATTCACAATCAAAAAATTTTTGTACATATTGTTTGTGTGACAAGTCGAGGTAAAGGTTCCAAGACAAGGCCATCAGTTTTTGGTCATTTTGAACGGTCCGAAACGTTGGAGCAAGACGAAGACCTAACAGTAGACAGCGGTCGACACCACGCAAAAAAATCTAAAGCGAAACACGATTTCCTTTCAGTCAAATATCTGTTTCGCTCAACGCTGACGTTTTGAACCAAAACAGATAAGTTTTTCAGTTTCATCAATCATGACAAACAGATAACAATTGGGATTCACACGGTGCAGTGATGTAAAATAACCACAACCATTTATTATTTTTTTGGAAACGAAAATATTTCTGTTCAAATCATTCAAGCCAGCGCAGCAAAAAAAAAAAAACGGCTCATCACAGAGTTTTACTCTTTGATTTTGATCTCATCCTTCCCCAAAAATTCAGTTTATCAAAGTCGAAAAACAGGACGTTTAGAATATTCGTGGTGATTCGTACCGTAACTGAACTGAATTTATCGTTACAAGTCTCCACGAATCTTCTTTACAACGAATTATTTCCCGTGCAACCAAACATTTTAAAATTGGGTAAAGTCGTTAGATTAGGGAAACATATAAAAAAAGGGGAATAAGGCATCGTAACACGGCAACCTTTTCTCCTTTTATATATTTTAATAAAAATAACTAAATAAATACGTTAATATGATAAAAAAATACAAAGTTATTTATTTATTTAAAAAATAAATATTAAAAAGTTAAAATGTCCTTTACTAAGTTATTAACACGAGACAGAGAAGATTTAGTACTTAAAATTCATAATGAAATGAGTAGTATTGCTCAGTCTGCTTTTCCAACTATTTCCGACCTTGAAGATTATAAAAGTTATTTTTTACAATTAGTCAATGAAAACAAAGAGCTATTAGAAAATGAAAAGGAATATTGTAGAGCAAAGTTTATTTATAATTTCGAATTAG